TGCCTTGCTGCCAGAGTTTGAGGTGCTGGGACCACATGGATGCCAGAGATGACTATGCCCTTATTTTGTTCTCCCTTGGACTTTTTCATCTGAATTTTCTTTTCTATAAACATTTTAATTGGCTGAGAGCAGGTGACTCATCTCTGTGATCCTAGCTATTTGGGAGTCAGACCTGGAGGATTGAAGTTTGAAGCCAGTCCTGGCAGAAAAGTCTTTAAGGTTCTATCTCCAATTTACCAGCAAAAAGCCAGGCTGGAAGTGTGGCTGAAACAATAAGGTACCAGCAAGCACAGAGGCTTGACTTCAAGCCTTAGTAACAATGAACATGCGCACACACACACACACACACACACACACACACACACACACACACACACACACACACACAACCACTTTAATTTCTTTCTTTAAAATTTAAATGTTATACCAATTGAGTCAGAAACCTTTTGCTTTGGTCTCCCACCTACAGGAAAGCATGAAGCTTTTTTTTGTTGGTTTTGGTTTTTTTTCTCAGCAGGTTTGGAAAGTTCAATGTGAGAACCAACTAGATTTACATATGTTGTCCTTTAAATTCATGACTTCATTTTATGCCTTTTTTTGGCTTTACCATTTTCTTAAGCCGAATTTACATGTGTATGAGTATGTACATATGCATACATACACACATATCTTGATATGTTAAAGAAAAACAATTTAGGATATGGTATTGAATCCATGGACTCCTATATACTACTCCAACATCTTGTCAGCCTCAAATCAAGGCCTGAAGACCATGGAGACCTGAAGCAAACATGGCTGTTGGCCTGGAGAGAATCTGCTGTTATTCTTCAAAGGCAGCATTCTGGAAACAGAATAGAAGGAAAAGCCAAGAAAAAAAGGGTCCAGTAGGCTAACCCAGAGGGTTAGCATAGACTCAGAAGATTGCAGGTTGCTCATTGATTTGTTCTATGATTTACGGGCACACAAATACATAGAAATTTGGAGGTTGGGAAAAATCTTTCTTTGTTGGAGAGTATAATGAAGCATCAGAGATGTTAGATGCTTTGCAACAGGAGAACCAGCTGCTTGTTCTTAGTTTCCTGTTTCTCCTATACTGTAAACAGTGCCAAGTCTACAGTCCCTCCTTTCTCCCTACATACCTGCCTCTACTGAGTGAGGCCATTAGGAATTACAGTCAGGCACAAACTCCCTAACTCTGTCTAAACAATGCTCTGGGCATACACTGGCATATGAATACAATTCAGAGGTGTTAGATCAGCCCAACTATAGGAGCTCAGGTGGTACCCCACTACCCAGCACAGGTGGCTGGCTACATTCTTCCCTCTACCCCAGTAAGGCATGCTCCTCTAGGTGGCATTTTTCTTGAGACTAGATATTTATGATAAATTTCTGTGATGGATTACAATGGGTTTGTCCTTACTCTAACAGGAAACACATTCCTAAGATGGATGTATCCAATTCAGCTGATGCTTTATCTTTGCAGGTGTGAAGAAATGGAGAGGGAGTTCAGGCTCTGCTCTTACTCCCCGCTTTCAAGATGTAACATTGCTATCAAGCACTAGTTATTATTGAATTGATTTTTTTAAATTGTGGTAACAGACATAAAATGTATCATTTTAATCATTTTAATGCACACTGAGGTGATGTTAAGTACATCAAATTGTTGTTCAACCATCACCACCTTTTATTTCTAAAATCTTATTTTCATCTTTCCAAATCCAAATTCAACATCTATTAAATAATACTTTCCCCAATTTCTCTGTTCCCTTTTCCCAGCAATGACCCTTCTATTTCCTGACCCCACCAGTCTGACAATTCTAGGTACTTCATGTAAGGGAGAACATTTAAAGAGTTCCCTTTTGTGTCTAGCTGATTTTATTCAGTATCTTCAAGGTTTACCCACATGGTGGCATGTGACAGAATTTCATACCTCTTTAGGCTACAAAATATTCCCCAGTGCGTACACACCTCAGTTTTGAGTCCATCCATCTGTTGATGGACATGTGAACTTTCCCCTCCTTTTGATTGCAGTGCACACTGCTGCTATCAACAGGGAACACAAATACCCATTTAATTCCCTGCTCACACTTGTCTAGGGTTTCTACCCAGAAGTAGAATTTCTGGAGCATACTATATTTCTGTTTCAGTGTTTTCAGATCACCATACTATTTGGACTTCAGTTTTATAAAAACAATAAACTTTTCAGTTTTAGGTTTACAGCAAAATTGAGCAGAGAGTATAGCGGTTTCTCATATAATTCTGTCCCCCTCTTCTCCTAACAGCATCTTTGTTTTTGGTGGTATTGAACTTTGCTAGGCAGGCACTCTATCAATTGAGCTATGCCCTCAGCCCTAGTACTCAGTTTATGGAGTCTCTGACAGGGGTAAGGAAACATTTTTTCTGCCAAGGTCCATTTGGATATTTATAACATCATTTGTGTGCCACACAAAATTATCAAAACAGGCAGATGGCTGTGACCGGCTGACACGAAGTATATAAAAATATAGTCTGTCTGTAACATATCAAATAATTATTTGGAGGCCTTATGATGTAGTTCCTAGGCCAGAAGTCCCCTACCCCTATAAGCCCTTGGTAACAAAGTGGTCTTTCCAAGTGTACAGGGAATGATCTAGGCAGGTCCCGCCTTGTCTAGCTAGCTATCAAAGCCCAAGATTTACCAAAGGAGGCACAACAGCCTTCTTCACAACAGCCTTCCTCCTTCCAGATCCGTGGGTCTGACAAAGCACAGCCTACCCACAGAACAGTCTGGTGTGTACATGTGAGATTCACAGGATGGCAAAGCAGAGGTTTTGGATCAGAAGTGTCTGATCTAAGCCCCTTCTTTCTCTTCCTGCTGGATATGCCTCAGAAACTGACAATTTTCCCTCCAAGAATGCTGTGCAGAACAACTAGCAGTGTCTGACAGACATGCTAAAGTTTGCAATGGTGGAGTAATAGATAATTACATCACTTGCAACCCCGTCAATGCTGTACCATCTGACTTGTTCCTTGGGCAACCGCAGAGGATAGCTCTGGGTACATTCAACCAGGAATCCTCTCATCACTTGTCATTTTTTGTCTTGCTTTACTGCTCTTAGGAGTTTATTTTAAACATGTGCATTTAAATCTATCTCCAGGATATTTTGGCTTCATACTATTAATGTTGATGCAATAGATAAGTTCCTTCATTACATAGTTACTTGGCAATTGCTTTTTTAACAGTGGTTATTCTTAATTCTAAAGTGTTCTAATAAAAGAACTATAAATTCAGAATACTTCTTTGAATGATAAAATGAACACATCCAAGTAGAATATTATAAATAACAGATTTAAATGCTCAGCAATTTCCAAAATATTTCCTGGACTCAGATTGATTCAATAAAGTGAAAGAAAAAAAATGTCATTTACAAATCCTACAATAAAAGCTCAGAAACTCACTAAGTACATGCATACTGATAGGCATGAAAGTACACTTTAATGTACCTCCACATGTCCAAACGTGCCATTGTTTTAACGATTCTCCTATGTTTTCTATTACTGCGGTACAAATGCTCTTCATAGATAGGCAATTAGCCTGTTTGAAGGCAAATTTAATAATAGCCTATCCCCTAAAATTTATCAGTCCCAAGAACCCCATAAAGCAGTGGACTTGCTGACCTGAGTTACTTATTGGAGGTGTGCCTCCCTTTTGTAATTGAAGTCACATTTAGGTGGATGAGGGAGAAATAATACTTTGCATGATATTTTCCCAACCCAGGGGAAAAAAGGTTTTCCCCTGGAGTGTTACCGAAAAGCATAATGAATGCACCTGTAAAAGGACTATAGCTATTCATTGTCTGTGGCTGATTACAGCAGTTATCATATATCCTGAAAAACACAGAATATCTAGTACCAGCAGGGAAGGAAGAAAGCTGTCATGGAGTTAGGGCATCTTCAGTATGGACTCTCAAATATGAAGGAAGGTATAGAGAAGATGTTACATGTTGATGTTCTGCGTAAAGCATTCTCTCTCTCTCTCTGTGTGCGTGCGTGCGTGCGTGCGTGCGTGTGTGTGTGTGTGTGTGTGTGTGTGTGTGTGTGTGTGTGTGTTGGTACTGGGACTTGAAAAGTCAGGACCTGGGCACTGTCCCTTAACTTCTTTGCTCAACACTTGTGTTCTACCACTTGATCCACAGATCCACTTCTGGCTTTTTGGTGGTTAACTATAGTCAAGCATTTCATGGGTTTTCCTACCCCACTGGCTTTAATCTGTGATCATTATATCTCAGCCTTCAGAGTAACTAGGATTACAAGTGTGAGCTGTCAGAGTGAAATGGGTGCTTCTTATCTAAGGGAGTTCTTGAACCAGCTACTTTATCATAACTTGGAAACTTGCTTAGACAAGCAAATTCCTAACCAGCACACAATCTACTGAATGAACAGTCCTGAGCCTGAGGCTCAGTAGTCTTTCCTGTAGCAAATATTCCAGGTGATTCTGATGTGGGTTAAAGTTTAAGAAGGTAGGAGTTACCAGGTGCTGGTAGCTCATGCCTGTAATCCTAGCTACTTAGGTGGCTGAGATCTGAGGATCATGGTTCAAAGCCAGCCCGGGCAGGAAAATCTGTGAGACTCTTATCTTCAATTAACCACCAGAAAACTGGAAGTGGTGCTGTGGCTCAAGTGGTAGAGTGCACACCTTGAGCTGAAGAGCTCAGGGAATCACTCAGGCCCAGAGTTTCAGCCCCATGACTCACTCTCTTTCTGTCTCTGTCTGTCTGTCTTTCTCTGTCTATCTGTCCGTCTGTCTGTCTGTCTCTCTCTCTCTCTCACACACACAGAAGTAATGAGTTAAGAAATTACCATTATTCAGATTCTAGCTCTGGAAGTTGTCTCAATTATAACTCTCCCAATACTTGGTTAAAATAAAGGTAATTTGTGTGTGTTTAGCTATTTGTTACTATCTCCTAAGAAACTATATCTCACTGCTTAGTTAAGGAAGAGAAATCTGAATAAAAACTTACATATAATTTTCCCAGGTCCTGTCCTGGCTTCGAGTCTTAGGATGCAGGGAACTGGATGAAGGGAGAGATGAGGAGGCCACAGCAATCCATTCAGACATGGACCCCGAAGCTTGACAGGGCAACCTTGTGATAGATTAGTGAGAGTCCACCTAATCAGAGAGGAAAAGTTGTCCATTATGAGAGTAAACGTTGCCAAGTGACCAGTCCCCCTCCCTACTGAAATTTCTTGACACATTCATTCTGTACTTTATAGCTTCTCTAGTGACTTACTGTGCTTCTGGCTATGTGTCTCTTGAACCAAGCCACGCAAACAGAATCTACCCAAATAGTCCAAGGTACCAACACTTGGGCACTACCAGGTAGAAAGCTCATTCTTGAGGTGCTTCCTTTAGTAAGCATCCCTCACCCAGTCCTCTCACTCTCAGAAACTCAAGGGCAGCTTAGGGACAGGTCAATATTCAGCCAGTTTCCTCCATTTCACCTTGGGAATGTTTTTTCTTCCAAGTTGGAACATTACCATTCATGTGGCTCTTAACTAGGGAAATTCAGGAAGTCAATGATTCACTTGTAAATTCTGTCTAAAGTGAGATGGTCCTGTTTCTTTTAAGACCAGTAATATATATTTTATGGTAATTAATTCATATAGGCTTATTATAGAACGTGTGGACATTTTTTAAAAGAGGGAGAAAAAAAGAGCAAAAGTAACCTTGACACCAATAAATCACTAATGGGGGCTGGGAAGGTGGCTCAGTGGTAGAGCGCTTGCGTTGCACGCATGAGGCCCTGGGTTCGATTCCTCAGCACCACATAAGCAAAAAGAAAAAAGCTGGAAGTGGCGCTGTGGTTCAAGTGGTAGAGTGCTAGCCTTGAGCTGAGGAGCTAAGGGACAGCGCCCAGGCCCAGGCCCACAATGGGACCCCCCCCCCCAAAAAAAGAAAGCTTCCTTTCCCAATAAATCACTAATGATATTTATTCAGATTTATAATCCCTTCTCTGGAACCCTTAAAGTTGGATATGCTTCAGAACTGAAATTATTTTAGATCCTTTTGGGGGCCAGTGCTGGGACTTCAACTCAAGGTCTTGAGATCAATCACTCTACCACTTGAGTAATGCAGCCATCCCTTTTTGCTTTAGGTCATTTTACACACAGTTTGTTTTTGCCCACAGCTGGCTTCAGATCATAATATTTCTAACCTATGCCTCAAGTAGTTTGGGTTACAGACATGAACCACCACACCGGGCTTTTAGTTAAGACAAGGTTTTACTAACTTTTTTGCCCTGGCTAACCATAAACTATGATCCTCCCAATCTCCACCTCCTGAGTAGTAAGTGTAAACTATTGTGCTTGGATATTTTAGATTTTAGAATCTATTGTGATACACCCACAATTTATCACATATTATCCTATCAAAGTCTGGATCAGCACTCAATCATCAGACACATTAAATATCTCTGTGCAAAAACAGGGGCTTTCTCTTATGTGTTTTTATCAAGTTTTCACATCAAAGAGGTTACAAAAATGAAAGAAAGCAAAATAAAATTTTAAAAATTCTGAAACCTTTTGCATTTAGAATTGTGGATAAGGGATTATGTACCAGGATTCTTTTCAGATACACAAACATACACAAAACTTTTCTGTACATTTTTAATGTAATTAAGTACTAAAATGTGAGTTATAGGAATTTTCCCATTACTAAAAATTCTTTGAAAGCATACATTTTCCTGTGTGTGTAATATTATACTCCATAGAAATGCATTCTGTTGAACTAGTACTCTCATTTGGAGAAATACAGATTGTTTTTATGAATTTTATTGCAAGCAACACTTGAGGTACATATTTGAATATCAGCTTGTCTGCTTCACTAACTTACTAGTTACCAGCGTTACTATAGGTGCAGAAAGACACCCTCATACTTCACAGACCTTTACAAAGTTCTAATCTAGTTAGTAAATTTAGGACATTTTGTTGACTTTTCTTAAAGAAGACAGAGCAACTTGCTGATTTCATGTAAGAGAGAAATGGTGTTAATACACACTTATACCAAGTGACCCTCAGTAGGCCAGGCTGAGTCAGGTGTGAACAAAGGAGAAGCTGTGGCTTGGGTCTTAACATAGAAGGAGTAGAGGTAAGGTATAGAAATAGTTCACATATTATCATGAAAGGAAACCCCTTGATACTTTATGGTTGAACATTCAGCTTCTGGAAAACAGAGGCCCTGTTCATCCCTCCCTTTGGGTGTTGTTTGACAGTTTGCTGTTCCTCAGCAAGGCCACAGAGAGCAGATGAAGTTATGAAGATGAATGCTCAGACTTATTCGTAAAGATGGTCAACCCACATGTCCACTATGCTACTATGTGCATTGTCTCATTAGATGCTGAGTGCACTGGCACAAAAATGGGCAGCTGGCACATTGAAGAGTACATGTTCACTGATCCTTACACCACACTGTTTGGTAGCCTCAGCTTGAGAACTTCAAAGATCTTCTCCAGCCTTGTTTCTTATTGTCATGATGATTCCAGGTCTGACTATAAATCACCAACTTGACCATTCCATGATTTGTCAGCACCATCTACAGACTCTAAAAATGCAGGAAATATAAGGTAATAATAATTCTTTTGGAGGTGCTATATTGACAGGAAAGAGGCCATATCTCTTAGAGCATAATTGAGAGGCAAGAGCAAATAGCACACACAGTGGAAAGCAGGAAGTCACAGACACTGTAATATGGTAATAAAACAAGCACACAGGTGTATTCTTCCCCAAGGTGGCTATAGTGAAGATGGCCAAAGCAAGTTTCCAAGTTCTTTTCCATTTAGAGAGTCTTCTAATTTGGTATAGAGGATGCCACAGTTTTCATAGGCTAATAAAGGCTGACTGAAGAAATATTCCCTTGTTATACATCATGAATAACCTTAGTCATTCAGTTGAACTGCATTTCTCCCCACAATGGTATTTTCCAGTTAGATTGATTTAGGAAAAAAACTTTTAAAATCTTAAAGTGGCTCACTAGACTATTCTTAGGAAAAAATGAGTAATGACAAATGGTAATAAATTTAAAACAATTTGGTGGTATTGGGTTTGAATGCAGGGCCTCCTGCTTGCTAGGCAGACGCTCTACTGCTGAGCCATGCCTCTGGCCATTTTTGCACTGGATATTTTTGATATAGAGTATGAATTCCTGCCAGGATGTATGTCTGGACCACAATCAGCCTGTTTACTTTAGCCTTCTCATTAAAGCTGAGATGATAAGTGTGTGTCACTATACCTAGCTTTCCATTGAGATGGATTCTCATAGTCTTTTCTGCCTGGGTTGACCTGGAACCTTTCAAGTAGCTTAACCTTTCAAGTAGCTAAGATTACAGGCATGATCCATAAGCACCAAGCCGTTTTCCACTTCTCAAAAGTGAGCTAAATTGATCATTCACAATCATCCTACCTAAAAGTATGAGTTGTTTCTATTAAAGCAATTCAACAAAAGTCCAAAGATATATAAAGAAGTGGACCATTTCCTTCTTTGTAGCTCCTTGTTTTAGTTTCAGCAGCACTCTTCTGATACTTAGGTGTCAAAGTGAGTAGAATGCCTTATTTTTCTTTGCCATAGTCAGATATATGATTAGTTTTGCGAGCATGCAAGGACTATAGAGTATGAAAAGTAAGCTGGTTATAGAGAAAATGACTTGCCAAACAGAATACTTTGTATTTTCAAATGGGTCTAATTGCTTGCAGGAGTACAAAAATCAAATCACCATTAATGACACCAATGCTTATCAGAAGCTCTCTAGATACTCAAACCGTACAAGCAGCATTTGTAAAAAGCTAATTACAAATTTGGATTCTCTCATTTAAAAAATATTCTTGAAAGCAGCCCACTTCTGTTTCTGTGTTGAACCAAAGTCTGTGCAGCTGGCACATTATCAAAATAAAAAAAATAATAAAATGCATCATTTGAATAAAGTCATTACTTTCAGTGTCACTAAATCCTGAACTGTGAAATGGCACAGGCTAAAAACTAGTAATGCCACATGGTTATGTTATTTTACTCTTACAAGAGCTATACTTTTCCAAGCCATAAGAGATATGGACCTGTTGGCTCACTGAAACTTTCTTATGTTGGCCTGTCACTCATTCACTACCTCTGAGCCTGACACTTCCCATCAATCTTGTGAGGATTAAATGAGAGTGTATACAAAAGTGTCTTTCTTTTGCAAGTTATAAGACATAAATTTTTGAACATAATTTTCTTTTCACTAATGGCTTTATGAGGCATAAGGTAGTCAATCCCCACTTCATAGTTAAGGAAAGTGACAAAAGAAGATATGGCAAATAAATGTACCAAGATAGGAGGTGTGTTTTTGAATGGACTACAAGCAACAGCTAAGTAACTCTTTGGGATTCATTTTCTTGGCAAAATGAGGGGGTTTGATGAGATGATCCTCTTTATGGTTGTTTCAAAGGACAATAGGTCAGCATCTGAAATTTGGGCATGGCAGTGATAGGGAAGTCTTTGGAAAGACCCTGAGTGCTCACACTTCATGCCTGTATGCTTAGCAATTCAGGAGAGTAAAACCTGGAGGATCTAAGCCAGCCTTGGCAGAAAAGTCTGGGAGACTCCATCTTCAAATAACCAGCAAAAGGCTGGACTGGAGATGTGAGTTAAGTGGTAGATCATCAGCTCTGAGCAAGAATACCAAGCAGTAAGAGCATGCGACCCTGAAAAATCCTCAGAAAGTGGTCCCTCTTGACGGTCAAATGCATCCTAAAGTCAAAGTCAATTTGTAGTGGTGGTTCAGAATCCTTGAGTAGCCTACCACTGCCTGGGATGGAGTAGATACTAACTTTCTAACTTTGCTGAAAAATATGTACAGTAATGTCCAGTGCTTCTGAGACACAAGAAAGCAATATTGGAGAGTTTAAAACATCAGGTCATTATTTACGCATAGATCTATTACTATTTTAACAACCAGTGTAGCCAAAAGAAAGTATACCAACTGAATATCAGTCTAGCTAACAGTCTGCTTGGCTTTCAGTCTCAAAGAGATAGTTTTTTTTCCCCTGTGTACTACCCTTTCTTTTTTTTTTATTGTGAAAATACTGTACAGAGGGGTTTCAATTACATGGGCAAGATGAGTACATTTCTTATCAAGCATT